GAGGCCGTGGTATCACTTCGGTCGAGCCGACCCATTCGTGCCGAAGCTTGGCTCTGGCCCTCACACACTTAAGAATATTACTTGTCTATTGAATATTTTGTAGGATAATTACTAGAACGAAAACTGCAAAAGAACTCATTAATGTTGTACTTACTCATACACATTATTATGACATAAAGTGTTTATTTTTAACTGGGCAAACTAACTGGCATCTGTGCAAACTGTGGTTCAACTGCAACAGTTATATTTTGACCTTGGTCACTAAGACTATTCAGATAACAATAGGTTTTTATAACCGAGTTAAAATGAGTATTGCGTTGAGATAGTTGGAATTTTGTGTGTAGTAAGCGTGTACAAGTATCGTAAATGAAGAAGTGTGTGAATAAAATAATTTTTCAAAAAAAAACTGACTTCAAAAAGTAAACTAAAAAACAAAAAATAAATTAACTTTGTACAAAGTAAGTAATACATATTTTCATTTAGTTAAATAGAAATAATATTCAATAACTATTTTATGATCTTAAAGTCGGTGCCAAGTAAAACTATAATAGTGTCATGATATTACCTACATACCTCTTGCTAGTTTGATGTTTAGCAGGTACCGATCAATATATTTTTCTAATACTGTTGTTGTTTGGTATGTAGCATTTACTTGGCACCGACTTCAAAATTATAAAATAGTTTAGATATATACCTACGGTAGAATTGAGAACCTCCTCCTTTTTGGAAGTCGGTTAAAAAATGTTTCATATCTTACAAAGAGTTTCGGAGCATATTCATTAGAAAAAAATATTTCTTCTTTTTTATTTGTAATGGTCAGGCATTGGCCTCTATCACGCCTGGTGGTTCTTTATTTTGTGAGGCGAAAACCATCAAATGACTTGTCCCGCCCAGGGTGGGGCGGGAGAAAGTGTCAGACTCTTACTGACTAAAAACCCCCCGTTCCTTTTCCTGCTCTGGGCCGAGGTCGCGATGCCTTATTGCGCTTACCCCGCAACCCCGGCTGAACATCAGCCCCATAGGGCCCCGTCTGTGGTGGTCTATTGGCTCTTTGAGGTGAGCGGAATGCAGCGCGCCGTACGCTCGGGCGGCGAGCTACCCTTACTCGCCGTCCGCAGACCCGCTTATTAGACACCGCTGATCCGGCAAAATTCGTACCGCCTCAGATATAACTAATATTTCCGATTTTTCTTACTTTTTATAGCTTCCCTGTACTTATATCCAGGAATATTTCAAGACCGCAATAATCTATGTTGGTCCAGCCTTTCTCGAGTTTTAGCGAGACCAACGAACGAATAATAATTCATTTTACACTAACATATAAACCTTTTGACGCAAACCGTCTGCCTGTCCTACTACTGTTATAGTACAAAACTATTCCTACCAACTTGCCTCATGACCTTGCAAGTACAACGCACACAGGTTTCGGATGGGTGACCGCGATGAATCAGTTTTTCATTACTATATACGCGCTTTCATTTCCGCTCGTACGCGAGCTGTGTGTAGGTAATGTACTTAACATCAGACCTGTTTATTTTATAGGATTTCTTTTTTGTTAGGAGAATATCATCAAAACACTCCCGCCCAAGATAAGGCCAAAGAGATAGTCAGATTCTTACTGACTTAACCCCCCCGTTCCTTCTCCAGCTATTGCTCTGGGCCGAGACCGCGGTGCCTAATTGCGCTTACACATCAGCTCTATAGGGCCTCGTCTGTGGTGGTCTATTGGCTCTTTGAGGCGCGCGCGGAACGCTACGCGCCGTACGCTCGGGTCTGGTTCTGGTCGGGCGGCGAGCTACCCTTACTCGCCGTCCACAGACCCATGCACACGGTGTCCGGAGATCATCTGTCGTTATTTTTTTAGGATAGGACTGTAAACGTGCCGGTGGATTACCTGGTGGTAAGCAATCAACAGAAAAAATGTTAACAAGTCCATTTCCATTTCAAATTATCCACGCTTTGGGGACTTGGGAGGGGGAGGGGGATAAGCACGTCGATTCTATAAAATTTGTTTGATTTTGAATCTTGTTCAAGTGCGAAGTGAGTGTCGAAGTGACGAGGAAATAAAATTTTAGAATGCCGCTTTTAACGTCATTTCATACTATATCTTTCAAAATGATGCTGTCAATTTAGTTCAACTCGCAAGTGTAGCGCTAGTGTACTACTACTTACAGCGGATTCAGATTTGAAGTTTAGAATGAAGTCTTACAGAATCACACTGAAGCTCCGATAACCTTAATCACAGAGGTTAACGCAACGCAAGCTATATTTCACGCCAGTTTGCTGTGAGGTAGTGGTATCACTCCGGTCGCTTCTCTTCTAAACTTGCTTACCATTCATCCATCTGCCGTCCTAAGTTATAAAAAAGCGACATCTTTCTTGCGTGTACGCACCTGTCCCCCTAAGTTTTAAAATTTAGGGGAGCACAGTTGGTTCGACCGTTACAAAATAAGAACAGGTGTAATTTTATGCGTATACGCATCGAGTTTTAAAATCAGAAACGTTGGTGGGTTAACTTTTGCCCGTGACTATGCCCGTGTTAACTAAAAATTTTATTCGTGTCAGTGTATACCTATACACGGAATTTTAATTAGATTCCTGATTTGACAATTTGAATTATGTCTGTGATATTAATTGTCAATTAACATATCTGGCTTACAAATATTTTCCTCTTCTTTGACAACATGGGATACGCATTTAGACGAATGGTAGCCGTAATTTTTTGAATGCCTTCCTGAAACTGATTCACTAATAGTTTATCGATTTTTGTGTTCATCACTACACTGTTATATGTATGTGGTATCATTATTTCACAAAATGACAGTGATTAATGTCAAATCTGGAATCGAATTAAAATTCTGACTATAATATTTGTTTTTGAAATTCTGATCTATTGCTCGGACTAAGTTCAAAAGGATTCTAAATAATTACACTTAAGTACTTCTAAATTATAAAAATACGAAAATATTAAAATACTTGAAGAATTATTCGTTAAAGTGCTGATTTTTCAATGGTGTCACGTCAGAACGTTTGTATAAGACAGTGACAGCAACAATTTTATTCTTCGGATAACATTTATCTGACTATTGAAAAATTTGCCGTTAATTAAACATTTTATTCGTGTCAGTGTTGACTGACTGCACGGTTGGCGCGTTGGCTGGGAAACTGGCTGCCGCGCAACGTATGGCGGGCTCGATTCGCGCACGGAACAACACTTTGTGTGATCCACAAATTGTGGTTCATGTGTCTTGGTGTGATGTGTATGTGAAATTGTATGTTTTTAAACACGTACACACAACACCTAGTGTGAGGCACTGTTTTTTTTTTTAAAGTTGTGTAATTTTGTTTTTGAAAGTCTGATCTATTAGTCAGACTAAGTTCAAAAATATTCTAAATAATTATACTTCTGAATTCTTAAAATATGGAAATATAAAAATACTTGAAGAATTTTATTACACTTTTAAATTTTATAATTCCTAGTTTTCTTGTCTTTATAATACTAATATTATAAAGAGGTAAAATTTGTAAGTTAATATGTAGGGGGTAATCTTTGGAACCGCTGGTCGGATTGCAAAAATTGTTTCACTGATATCTAGCTACAATGTTCCTGAGTGCTATAGGCTATAAAACATCACGCTACGATTAAATGGAGACGAGCAGCGGGTGCTATGTATAGCTAGTAGATATATAAAATTCTCGTGTCACAATGTTAGTTAGCTTACACCTCCGAAACGGCTTTACTGATTTTTATCAAATTGTATAAGTACCTATGCATATTCAGTAGGTTCGGTTCGCTTCTCATGCATGAAGGTGCGGGGTTCGAAACGTGGCAAGTACCAATGTGACTTTTTCCAAGTTATATGTACATTCTATAATTATTTAGACACCACTGACATACAGTGAAGAAAAACCTTTTATCGGCGTGTGTTAATAGGCGTATTAGGTGCCATTTTTTGTCAGGGGAAAATCATCTAATGACTTCTCCCGCCCAGGGTAAGGCGAGAGAGACTAAAAACCCCCCGTTCCTTCTCCTGCTTTGGGCGACGTCGCGCTGCCTCATTACGCTTACCCCGCAACCCTGGCTGAACATCAGCTCTATAGGGCCCCGTCTGTGGTGGGATTTTGGCTCGGGTCTGGCTCTGGTGGGGCGGCGAGCTACCCTTACTCGCCGTCTGTAGACCTGCGCGATCATTTCTCAATGAAACAATGAATTTATTTTTGCAAATAGGCCATAAAACGGCACTTTTACACGTCAAATTGTATGTGAAAAACTAGATGAAGCCGGCATTTCCTATCTGACTACTCTGAGAAGAAATGCCGAAACAAACTCAGAGGTCAGTCTCTTTTCAAGTCCAGACTCTCGATCCCCGATGCCCGGAATGTCGTACTGCGCCGGCTAGGACGCGAGGAGGATAGTTCCCTCACGCGCTCCGCCTCCTCCTTTGCGAGCATCAATGCTTCGCAGAAAGAGGAGACGGCTTCCCAGTTCCTCTCGAGGCTTATTAGGTGCCTAGATTCTTCAAACCCTCTTACTTAGGTGCAGAATCCTAATAGTCTAAAATGTAGTATCGAAAAACGTTAAAATTATCTATACATATGACTAAATATATACAAGAACGTCAGTTTTAGTATGACGAGCACGTTCTTTCAAAGTAAGTAAATACATTATGTATGTGTACATCGATAAGCTGATAACTATATAACCTTGAAAAATGTTATGTGGAGAAATTCTTATGTATATTATATTATATACTTCATTGTATGTTGTATTATAATATTGTCATTCACACAAAGTGTGCTAGAGCTATGCTTCGGCAAGAATGGGTCGGCTCGAACGGAGCGATACCACGGCCTCACAGAATACCGGCGTGAAACAACTCACAGCGTTGTGTTTCGCCGTGTGAGTGAGGTTACTGGAGGCCCAGAGGTCCGGGACCCTGTGGTCCCGTGAAAGGAAAGGATTTCATGTTTGTTTTGTTATTTGTTTACAGGTAAATAATGTGAAGGCTTAGAAGTTATGAGAAAAAACATAAGTTTTTAAACAAAAGACTGAAAAAAGTTATGTGAAATTACGAAAATGTCTGAAAAAGAGGAACATAAGGAAGGCCCTGTAACGGCTGAAGATCTGCCCATGACATTTCAAGTAAGTAACCTTGATTATATAATAATACTAGCGGCCCGCCCCCGCTTCGCACGGGTCCAATTATTTCGCTATAAAAGGGTCACTTTTTCCCAATTTTCCCCTGTACTATTCTAATATTTTCTTTGATAAGAACCTTCTCCTGACAATAACAAACACAACAAAAAAAGAATGAGCAAAATTGGTCTAGGCGTTGTTGAGTTATGCGCTTACCAACACATTTTGAGATCCATTTTTATATATAAGAAGATTAAGGTTGCAAGCGATCAGGCGAATTACCTCATGTTGAGCAATCGGCGCCGCTCATAGAATCAATATTGCGTTGACAATATTATGGGGATTGGAAGCGTTGAAAAGACTGCAGATTGGCGCGGTGGCTGGGGAACTGGCTGTTGTGCAACGTATCGCGAATTCGATTCCCGCACGGAATAACTTTGCGTGATCCACAAATTATTGTTCCGGGTCTGAGTGTAAGTTTAAGTGGATTTGAAAACGCACTCACGACACAGGAGAAAATCCTATTGTAGGGCAAAATCCCACACCCTGGCTTCGCCCGAATGCAACGCTGATACTAAATATCTCCACAATTTTATAGATGATATTATACATATAAACCTTCCTCTTCAATCACTCTATCTTTTAAAAACACCGCATCAAAATCCGTTGCGTAGTTTCAAGATGTAAGCGTACATAGAGATATAGGGACAGAGAAAGCGACTTCGTTTTATACTATGTAGTGATTTTAACGTCACAATTTTTTACGGAATATTAAGTGTATCAATCAATAAAAATAACAAAATTTATTTATAATGTTATATATATATATATTTATTTTTCAATTCTTTTGAACTGAATGAAAAGTTCGAAATCAATTGTTTTTGACTAATTTAAGCACTTGGTTGTGACGGTAGGGTCAAATTAATTCCCGAGCGTACGGCGCGTAGCGTTCCGCGCGCGCCTCAAAGAGCCAATAGACCACCACAGACGGGGCCCTATAGGGCTGATGTGCAGCCGGGGTTGCGGGGTAAGCGCAATGAGGCACCGCGACCTCGGCCTAGAGCAGGAGTAGAAACAGGGGGGTTTTTAGTCAGTAAGAGTCTGACACTCCCTCCCGCCCGGCCCTGGGCGGGAGAAGTCATTTGATGATATTCCCCTCACAAAAAAAGGGTCAAATTAATTGTCATTACTTAACATGGTCATTAATGAATGACTGTCGCAATGTTTATCTGATCCTCTGCATATCCCTTTCGCAGTTAGAAGGCGTGAACGTATTTTACTGGACACGTAAATTGAAATATTAATGCACACGAATTTTCTTTTTATGTTAGGACAGAAAATGAGCAGACGAAATACCTGATGGTAAGCAATCAGCGCCGCCCATAGACATTTGCAACAACAGAGGAGTTACGAGTATGTTGCCAACCTTTTGAAGATTTGGGGATTAGGACGGGTTCGGGGGAGGGGTATTAAGGGATCTCTGGTAAAATATGGCTGATACCATAATTAGATGTCAGATAAAATATTTTCAAAACATTTTAGCCCATCATAATAGACAAAAGACTTTATATCCATTTTCTAAACACCCTATTTATAAGAATAAAAACTCCAATACAGCCACCCACACAGCCGTAACGCATAAAAATACCAACATTACAAAGTTAACATACCGTTGCTCATTATGCATGCTTGATTGTGACGTCACATCCTCTCCCAACAATGGCGGACGGCGTAATTAGGTTTATTTATTATCTGTGCAACATATGTAGATGAGATGTAGTTGATATATTGTATCTATTATTAACTATTTAGTTTGGTAATCTAGTTGGAATATTTAAACTACGATGTTCAATCTGATATCCAAGCTAAAAGAGATCATGACAAACCCTTTTTTTTGTGAGGGGGAAATAATCAAATGACTTCTGCCGCCCAGGGCCGGGCGGGAGGGAGTGTCAGACTCTTACTGACTAAAAACACCCCTGTTCCTTCTCCTGCTCTGGGCCGAGGCCGCGGTGCCTCATTGCGCTTACCCCGCAACCCCGGCTGAACATCAGCCCTTTAGGGCCCCGTCTGTGGTGGTCTATAGGCTCTTTGAGGCGCGCGGAACGCTACGCGCCGTACGCTCGGGCCTGGTTCTGGTCGGGCGGCGAGCTGCCCTTATTCGCCGTCCGCAGACCCGCGCTTACGGTGGCCGGAGATCGTCTTTCGATCCCCGACGCCCGGAGTGTCGCCTGCTGCGGTGGCTGGGGCGTGAAAAGGATAGTTCCCTCACGCGCTTCGCCTCCTCCTTTGCGAGCATCGCAGAAAGAGGAGACGGCTGCCCAGTTCCTCTCGCTACAAACCATGGCCTCGGCATCATGACAAACCCTAAGAATGTGGAAGAGGCCTAGTCAACAGTGGACTGCCACCGAAACCGCGGAGCAAGGGTATCTCACAGCCCGACCAGAATCAGACCCGAGCGTATGGCGCGTAGCGTTCTCCGCGCGCCTTAAAGAGCTAATAGACCACCACAGACGGGGCCCTATAGGGCTGATGTTCAGCCGGGGTTGTGGGGTAAGGTACCAGAGCCACGGCCTAAAGTAGCTCTAGCAAGTACCTACCTTTTTTCCGAGTAATATGTACTTTCTATAATTATTTAGACACCACTGACATGCGGTGAAGGAAAACATCGTGAGGAAAACTGGAATGATAATTTCTAATTATAAGTTTGTTATCCCCATATATATATATAGACTGATGATTATGTTGATGATATGAATATGATTATTAAAATTCTAAATGTTTTTTCCTGACCATTAATAAATCCAACTTCACTACATAGTATAAAACAAAGTCGCTTTCTCTGTCCCTATATCCCTATGTACGCTTAAATCTTTAAAACTACGCAACGGATTTGATGCGGTTTTTTTTAATAGAAGGAGTGATTGAAGAGGAAGGTTTATATGTATAATAACATCCATTAAATAGTGGAGAAATTTAGTATCAGTATTGCAGCCGTGCGAAGCCGGGGCAGGTCGCTAGTCCGTAAGTTTGTTAGTACGGATGGATGTTTGTTACCCTTTCACGTAAAAACTACTGAACGGATCTGAACAAAATTTGGCACAGAGATAGATTATAGTATAGAATAACAGAAAGGCTACATTTTACCCTAGTAATGCGGGTTATGCCTGTGGCAGAAGCTAGTACAGCTTATACAAAAGTAAAATTTCACTATCATTATAATTAATTAAAAATCAGTTCACGTCCTTAAAAGTTCCGTTGGTTACCTTATTTGAGTTTGGGTCAGGTAGCATAACTTCGCGTAAGGGCAAGCAGGGATTCACGTTCATAATGTTTCAACATCCTTTTGTCATTTATATTATATTTTTTTATTAATAACTTCCTATTTTTTGCTACTTTATAATCGCCATCCGTTTTGAGAAAGAGTGGAGATTAATGCTCGTACCTTCTATAAAAAATGCCTTGTTTTACAATGATACAAAAATTCAAAGTGTGTGTAGTTCAATTGTTTTATATCATAGGTTTGCACACGACGAATTACCTGATGGTAAGCAGTCGGCGCCGCTCTTGGACACTCTTAGTACCAAAGGAGTGACTACAAGTACGTTGCCGACCTCTTGTGGGTTATCAAGGATATAAGAATAGATAATTTGAGGATTATGGATGGGAGGACTCTAAGATTTTTACAATATATAATTACTTCACTTGATTTGACGTTTTTTGTTGATTACTTGGCTTGACTTTACGACTTTGTTGCACAAGTAGTGGTCAGAAGCAGACTGTTTCGGTCGTTTCGACCTGTGCAGCCAGGTCGAAACGTCAAGCCTACCAAGGTCAGCCGGGGTTGCGGGGTAAGCGCAATGAGGCACCGCGACCTCGGCCCAGAGCAGGAGAAGGAACTGAGGGGTTTTTAGTCAGTAAGAGTCTGACACTCCCTTAGATTTAATAACAGAGTTCGTTACGCCTCATCTGAATACGAGTAAAAGGGTCTTATAATAAAGTGTCAGTCTGTCGGTCAGTCCTCAAGTGAATGATTTAAGCAAATCATTTCAGGAGTGTTTTGTTTTCATAGTAAGTACTACAAAATGTAGATAGCCAAGCGATTAAAAACACTTGTAACTTTAAAATTATGATAAGATAAAATATTGCAAATAAAACGTACAATAATAATTTAAGTACGGGATTTTCTAAGTGTGGGAGAGCCATGCTTCGGCACGAATGGGTCGGCTCGACCGGAGTGATACCACGGCCTCACAGAAAACCGGCGTGAAATAACCACTGCGTTGTGTTTCGCCGTGTGAGTGAGGTTACCGGAGGCCCAATCCTTCCCCTTCCCCAATCCCTCCTCAATCCCTATATCTCCAAATCCCTAATCCCTAAAAGGTCGGCAACGCACTCGTAACTCCTCCTTTGCGAGTGTCCATGGGCGGCGCTGATTGCTTACCATCAGGTAACCCGTCTGCTCGTTTGCCGACCTATTACATAAAAAAAAGTACTTAAGCATAAATTAATTGTGTCCTCAAAATATATTACAATCTTCACACATATGATTTTCTCCTGTATCGCAGGTGCGTTTACAAACATACAATTTCACATACACATCACACCCAGACCCGGAACAACAATTTGTAGATCACACAAAGAGTTGTTCCGTGCGGTATTCGAACTCGCGACACGTTGCAGAGCAACCAATTAGACCAGCTACTGCGCCAACCGTATAGTCATTTATATGATACCATTATGTATATCCTACTAATATTATAATTGTGAAACTTTATGAGAATGTACGGATGTATGTTTGTTATTCTTTTACGCGAAAACGGCTGGACTAATTTGGTTGACATTTGGCATGTAGATAGTTGGTACCTTGGGTCACACAAGACATAGGCTGCTTTTTATCAACATACCCCGCAGGCGAAGTCGCGGATGGAAATTACGAAGTTACAATGTATGATGACCAAAACTGCCGAATGGATCTGGATGAAATTTCGCACAGGCATAGGATACACTAAAGAATGGGACATAGGCTACTTTTTATTTATCAACATACCACGCGGATGAAGTCACGGAAAAAATAGTTTTTGTAACAAATCCTTACTTATTATCTTCTGGTTTTCAGGTGAAATACTTGGGCCAGAGTGACGCGCGAGGACTATGGGGTATCAAGCATACGAGGAAACCTGTCGACCTCATGGTGTCTGCTGCCAAGGCATTACCACCAGGTAAAGGCTCACGATCTAAAACTGTGAACAAGTTTTTAGAGGTATGAGAGAACAGGATGGAAATTTCCTCATGCTCCATTGAAAAGGGAGGATCCTCCGACTAGACGGGTATTATGTCTGGTGGGCTACTGCACGACGGTTGTTGTCGGGATTTTGTATCGGCTCTAATTGCGTTGAGAACTCTTATACCGCGATGTAGAATCTGTTACGCCATCTGTTGAATAATGTTGTCCATCTATGCATTACTGTGTGTGCGATAGATGTCGCTACAAGTTTCTCAAAAAGTAGCCCTCACAAACTCTTTCTAAGCAATAAAGTTCTCGCCGACTGACAAGCGTACGGCAGAAAACATAACTTATAAAGCCAATAGACCACCACCGACGGGTTCCTACAGGGGCGATGTTCAGCCAGGGTGGCGGAGGTTGAGCAATAAGGGACACCAGGAGAAGGAACGAGAGGGTTTTTAATCAGTAAGAGTCTGACACTACCTCTCGCCTCACCCTGGACGAGAGAAGGCATTTCATGATTTTCCCCCCACATAAGAAAGCAACCCAGTAGACAAAATGTGGAATAGACTACCAGAAAACGTATCTTATCTTATTTTTATCTTCTGATAAACCTTAACAAACTAGAGAATTTTTAAAACCTTAAGCTAAGCCTAAGCTAAGGCATCTAGCCATTTAGATTTTTTTTTATTGGATAGGTCGGAAAACGAGCAGACGGATTACCTGATGGTAAGCAATCAGCGTCGCCCATGGACACCCGCAACGACCGAGGAGTTACGAGTACGTTGCCGACCTTTTTGGGATTCGGGATTTGGAGATTTTGAGAACGGGTACGGATTGGGGTAGGGGAAGCATTGGGCCTCCAGTAACCTCACTCACACGGCGAAACACAACGCTGTGGTTATTTCACGCCGGGTTTCTGTTCATCGGGCCGACCCGTTCGTGTCGAAGCATGTCTCTCCTACACTAAAAATATCACGATTAAAACTTTTTTCCATCTGTTTCCAGGTCAAGCTCTGCCAATGGTGAAATTGATGATAGCGTTGGATGGCGTCCATCTAGAACCTGTCTCCCATGGAACAAAAACTGACGAGTTTGATCAGATGTCAGTCTTCTTCAACATAGAGTCCATATCTTATGGAGTACAGGACCTGGTCTACACAAGGGTCTTCTCCATGATTATTGTCAAGGACACTGCTGATGTTAAGGGCTTAAATCCCTTTGAATGCCACGGTTTTGTCTGCGAGTCCAGGTGAGTCTTAATCGACTGTATTTTTCTAGCATTAATTTTGTATATTGCCAAGTTTCGCATGTTTTCTTCTGGATGTGATGTTCTAGAAGAATATTTTTTTAACGTTGCCCCACATTTGAATTTTCTCCTGTGTCGTGGGTGCGGTTACAAACATACAATTTCACATACACATGACACCCAGACCCGGAACAACAATTTTTGGATCACACATACAGTTGTTCCGTGCGGGAATCAACCCGCCACATCGCACGGCAGCCAGCCCAGCCACCGCACCAACCGTGCAGTCTAGAAGAATATTGCCAAGTAGCTAAGTCTACTGTTTTAGTAGATCCCTAAGACCTGAAACTAGGACATTTCACAAAGACTTGTTGTGTTTACTGGTAAATCTCCATAATAGAAGTAGCACTAGACCCTCTACCTAAAAATTGTTTCCTATAACCTCCACATCCAGATTTATCCTAATACAAGCATGGGCTGTTGACGTTTTTTTGAAATAAGATGGTGAACGAGCAGTAGAATTGCCTGATGGTAAGCAATCGATGTTGCATATGGACACACGCAATACCAATGAAATTAAGAAAGCTAGGTCATCATATTGAGCGTTAGGGGTTTGGGAATTTGTGATTTCGGGTAAGGTGATTTGGGTATTTGAGAATTTTGAAGTGCAAAAGAGTGAAGATTGGGTCTCCCGTAACATCATTCACACGGCGAATGAAAACGCTATCTTTGTTTCACGCTGGAATTCTTGAAGACTGTTGTATAACTCCGGTTGAGCCAGTCAGTACCGAAGCATATCCATATGTTTGTTGATTAAAATCAAACAGGCCGGCAACGCACCTGTGACTCCTCTGGTGTTGCGGATGTTCATGGGCGGCGCCGATCGCTTACCATCAGGTGATCCGTCTGCTCGTTTGCCACCTATTCCATAAAAAAAAACATTACATAAGAAATAAAAAAACTCTTTGCAATAAACATTAAATACCAAAATTACTCAAACCCACTCCAATAAAAATAAAAAAATATAACTTAACTATCGAACCGTATTAGTCAATAACAAAATTCTCAGACGTTAAAAAAAATGTCACGGTGATGAGATTACGAAAATACTCCAATATCTTATACATATACGTTGGCAAATAATTTCGTCACATTATCGAACACTTGAAAGATCGAGTCCTAAAAATTCTTTCACTATCGCTTGTGAATCAGGTCAAACGATGATAAGATTTTGATGTAAATGACGGTGTAAGTGTGAGAGAGCCATCTGACGCCACATATGGTTTGGGTCAAAAGTTATACCAGGGCCTCACAGAAAAGCGGCGTGAAACAACCACAGCGTTGAGTTTCGCCGTGTGACTGAGGTTAGAAGTCGTATCGTTCTTACCCTCCCCTAATCCCGAAATCTCTAAAACTCTAATCCCCAAAATGTAGCACCGCACTCGTTACTCTCTGGAGTTCCGAGTGTCCATGTGCGGCGACGATCACTTATAGGATATACGTGTTCAAGTTTACCTCTGTTGAGATTTGAATAAAAGATGAAAGATGTTGTAATATTATCTTGTTTTATGAGACACACTATTTATTAGACACTCCAAGACACACTGTTTTTTACTATAGTCAGACTTTTAATTCGATTCCTGATTTGACATTGACCACTGTCATTTTGTGAAATAATGATACCACATATAACAGTGTAGTGATGAACACAAAAATCGATAAACAATCAGTGAATAAGTTTCAGGAAGGCATTCAAAAAATTACGGCTACCGAATGGTCTAAATGTGTATCCCATGTTTTCAAAGAAGAGGAAAAAATGAGTAAGCTAGATATGTTAATTGACAATAAATATCAAAGACACAATTCATAATAAATGTTACATAGAGTAACGGCGATAGCGATAGCGATGACGGCGACAATTTATAAAATGTCTGTTTTATTTGTCACGTTCCTTCATGATCACATTTTTTATTAATTTCACACACAATTACAAAAGAAAAGTCTCAGATCGTTAATTAATTGTCAAAACTAAATTATCGGTTCAGAAATATTTTATTTCCTGATAAACTTAGTTTACAAGAGTAAATTTATAAACGAGAGGAATCGATTCAGAAATATTCGATTTCCATATCGAATAATTTCGCAACGTCACTATTTATTACGTGCCATAACGTTGCAACACTGAAATTGTCAAATCTGGAATGGAATTAAAATTCCGAGTATAGACACTATGACAGTTTATTTTGTTTTTACTTTTTTTTTATTACACTACTAACCAACCTTTTTAGTCTAGTGTTGGCAACAACCTAAACTAACTAATAGTAGCGTTGTGTTTAGTAGTATGTTATTTTAATTGATATTACAACAACCTCGTCATCTGGTTATCTTTTCCAATCTTAAGGAACTTTGCACTCTGTCCTCAAAATGTCAGAGCACTTTTTTATGTAAAAGGACGACAAACGATCATACGGATTATCTGATGGTAAGCAATCAGCGCCGCCCATGGACACCCACAACAACGGGGGAGTTACGAGTGCGTGGCCGACCTTTTGGGGATTTAAGAATTTGGGAGGGATTATGCCTCTGACTGAAATTAAATTCTTAATTTTTGTGTAAAATTTTTCAGGAACGCAGCTAGGCGTTTGACCTACGCGTTAGCAGCAGCTTTCCAAGATTATTCTAGAAGAGTGAAGGCGTTACAAGCTAGCTCAGGTAAGATTCTTCTGCCACTTACCATCATCATCATCATCATCCCATATTATTAATAGCATGGCGTGACATTCCACACTAAAGGTTTTCCTTAAGCTTTTTTGTGCCATAAGTGGGCAAACAAGCAGACCTGATGGTAAGCAATCAGCGCTACCCATGGACACTCGTAGTACCAAAGGAGTTACTACAAGTGCGTTGCCGGTCTCTTGTGGGTTATTAGGGATTTAAGAATAGAGGATTATGGGGTTGAGGATGGGGGGGAGGAAGAATTAGGCCTCCGGTAACCTCACTCACACGGCGAAAGACGAGACGAAGCTAAAATAAACTATGACAAGCATTTACCAGAAGCCTTATAAGGGGCTTGCCACTGAGCCAAGATATTTTGTCACAGAGAAAAGGTTTGAGCATTAACCACCACGCTTGCTCAAGGCGGATTCGCGATTCCAAACTTAAAATTAGAAATTACAAGTCCAGGTTTCCTCACAATATTTACCTTCACCGCATGTCAGTGATGTCTAAATAATCATAGAAAGTACAGCACGTCGATTCTATAACATTTGTTTGATTTTGATACTTGTTAGAAATTTCATTATAGAATGCCACTTTTAACGTCATCTCATACTTTGTCTATCAAAATGTTGCTGTCAATTTAGTTCAACTCGCAAGTGTAGCGCTAGTGTACTACTACTCACGGCGGATTCAGATTCGAAGTTTAGAATGAAGTCTTGCAGAATCACACTGCAGTACCTGTACTCGGAATTTTAATTCCATTCCAGATTTGACAATTTCAGTGTTGCAACGTTACGACACGTAATAAATAGTGACGTTGCGAAATTATTCGATGTGGAAATCGAATATTTCTGAATCGATTCCTCTCGTTTATAAATTTAATCTCGTAAACTAAGTTTATCAGCAAATAAAATATTTCTGAACCGATAATTTAGTTTTGACAATTAATTAACGATCTGAGACTTTTCTTTTGTAATTGTGTGTGAAATTAATAAAAAATGTGATCATGAAGGAACGTGACAAAAATAAACAGAAGTTTATAAAATATCGCCGTCATTGCTATCGCTATCGCTGTTACTTTCTGTAACATTTATTATGAATTGTGTCTGTGATTTTTATTGTCAATTAAATTATCTAGCTTAATCATTTTTTCCTCTTCTTTGACAACATGGGATACGCATTTAGACCATTCGGTAGCCGTAATTTTTTGAATGCCTTCCTGAAACTGATTCACCGATTGTTTATCGATTTTTGTGTTCATCACTACACTGTTATATGTGGTATCATTATTTCACAAAATGACAATAGGCCATGTCAAATTAGGAATCGAATTAAAATTCTGACTATAGTTGCCAGATTTAGACTTTTCCGGTATATTTCAGATGATGGCTGGCTGTCTCCAATCCGAATCTTACAAAGGAAAATGACTGGGTAATTCTTCTCCATTTCTGGATATATTTCCAAAATCTTTCCATTTCGGCTGGCTTTGGTCTTCTGAAGATCTGTCTTCTTCTTTTGTCCATTGTTGTGGTTTCAGTTCTCGACATCCTTCTCCTTTTTTACTGCGGTTCTGTTTAAGATCTGATCTTCTTTGGGCTTTGATCTTAATGTGATGTCCAATCTTCTTATAAGAGTGAAAGAAGAAATAAACAATTGTTTTTATGTGACTAGCGCATTCTCGGCTATGTAAGTTAATAGGTGTAATGAGGTGTGGGTGCATGGTCCAAATCAGTGCCGAAATAGGCATCCTTTCAGCATATGCTAGACAGGGCTTCACTTTTGCTGGCTGGTGTTGTGTAGAAAGCTACAAAAGCTCGGCTGGGCGCAGGAGAAGGATCGGGGTGATTTTTAGTCAGTAAAATTCTGACGCTTCCTCTTGCCCCACCTTGGGCCTTAGAAGTCATTGTAGTTGAATTGTGTTAATAGGTTACTTGTGAGTAGGCATGCTCCATCATAGATTTTACTACCAGAGGAGATAGCGGCCACACGCCAGCTCAATATTAAATAAAAAAGGGCAAATTGGCTATTTTATAAAATTATAATTCCAGGTTTCTAAATAAGCTAAGGAAGAATATATATCTCGGAGAAAGTCACATTGGAATTTGCCAGGTTTCGAAACGGCACTCTCATGCATGAAAAAATTAAACTTTCCATTAACAATTAAAATTAACAAAACTGTATTCTTCTTCCAGAATATGAGGAACCAGCTCCAACAAAGCCGAGGTTTGCGATAGACCTGCGCACTCCAGAGGAAATAGAAGCTGACCTGGAGACGGAGGCGTAGTTCTTAATTATTTATGTATTATTCTGTATTTGGATGAACTGGGCAAGCCATACAGAATAATTGAAATCATTATAAAAATGAGCCTCTCATATATAGGCTCTCTGTATCTTCACTTAGCCTGTAGCATCATTCGGAATTGCTACTTTAATGTACCGTGACCTCGGCCCGGAGAAGAAAAAGGAACGGTTTTTAGTCAGTAAGAGTCTGACACTCACTCTCGCCTCACACTGGGCTAGAGAAGTCAGTCGATGACTTTTCCCTGACAACAAAAAAAAATCGGTAAGAAACGTTCCTTCTTCAGCTTTTGAGGCCGCGGTACCTTATTACGCTAGCCCCACAACTCCGGCTGAGCATCGGCTCAAAAGGACCCCAGACTGTGGTTTTCTTTTGGCTAGTTCTGTACCGCTACACATTTAAGATGGAGGTTTAATTTTGTCTGTAAAATGGGTTTCATTAAGTATTGAGCGACGATCTCCGGCTACCATAAGCTCGGGTCTGCGGTCGGTGAGCAAGGGTAGCTCGCTGCCTGACCAGAACTAGACCCAAGTTAACAGTGTCAAGAATGCATGGCGTCAACAATCTTCTAACCAGAAATTTAAAAATTGTCCAGTTCATCCAAAATACACATAGATTTATTTATAAAATACTGTTAAGGGAATATAATATAAACGGTGCTATATTATTCAAATATTTCCATTAAAAATATTCAATAATATTTGGTCTGTTTTGAAAAGACGCACGTTGATTGCCACGGTATGCTCAATAGATGGCGTTATTATAACATCACGCACTATAACCTACATCGCGCAAGTGAATAAAAACGGATAGAAAACCCGTGTTTCGTTGTCTCTGTATAGAATCCGTTTTTTTTTTCGTATCTGCATACAAAACAACTGTGCAAGCTGAACATTCCAAAGGTTTTATGGTACTAATTCCCATAACAGTTAAAGTTTAATCATTCCAATAAAATATGGTCTATGAGTTTAGGTATAATTAACTAAAATGTAAACAATCTTGGCATGTCTTTTTATCTTAAAGTTGCCTAAAAATTATATGTAAAAATGTTTACAATCAGCTATTTACTTAAATCGATGTTAGCTAATAAACTAAATTTAAATAATCTTTGTATGTATTTTATACGAGCTCTTTAATATAAAAAGACATGCCAACATTGTTTACCTTTAGGTTACCACCTAACCCGATAGACTTTAGTATTTTAACGTAACATCACGCTTTTATCTTCCAAAGGGATAAACAAAAGTCAAAGTTTTATAATAACTATCATGAGACATACTAAATTAACTAAAAATCGCGGGTTACTCACGTTTGTAATTGAGAAAAGGGGCGACGTCGCGCACGCTTCGCCGCGTCAGTAGGATGCGCGACGTCGCCGCGTCCGCGCACGCTGCTCATGAGGAAGAACCCCTCTGTGGTTCGAAACTAGTAGAGCATTTCTCAATTACAAATGTGAGTAACCCGCGATTTTTAGTTAATAAAAGTCAAAGTATTTCTATACATGTACTTCTGTTTAACTTATCAATGAATAAATGGCGATAATTATATTCTAGTATTCTGTATGTACAATTTAGGTTAGGTAAAATCATATAATATGTCGTGATGGCCCGAAGGTAAAGAAGCCCGCTTCTGAAGAAACCTGGCAAGTACCAATGTAACTTTTTCCGAGTTATACGTACTTTCTATGATTATTTAGACACCACTGACATACGGTGAAGGTAAACATCGTGAGAAAACCTGGACTTATAATTTCCAATTATAAGTTTGAAATCGCCAACCCGCATTGAGCAAGCGTGGTGATTAATGCCGTACGAGAAGAGGCCTTTGCTCAGCAGTGGGCACTTATAGGCTGATGATGATGATGATATAATATATTATTATTTAGTTAGAATCACTTAAGTATTTTTTATAAATGAATTGTCAAGTCTATTTTGGTTAAAAAAAAAAAATTTAATGAAAACATCAATGAAAATAATGCCTTGCTCATGTTAATTAGTAGAGAAAACCTCAGCCGTGCGCTGCTCATGTATAAGAGTCCCGTCGTGACTCGAAACCAGTTGAGCTTTTTCATTAAATGTTAGGAAAAATATTTAGTTTTTATTCCGCGACAACAATCCAGGCTTGTTGCAGGATGCAATCCCACTCCTATGCAATCATGCATATGCACATGCAGCAAATGTAAACATGCATATGCACACGTGCAAAAAATGGAAAAACATGGCACGCAATCAAACCTATACTCGACACGTGTTTCGCCCCTCCACAGGGCTCGTCGAGTCAACCTTATATAGGTAATATGCATGATTGCATAAGAGTGGGATTGCATCCTGCAACAAGCCTGGATTTTTGTAGCGGAAAAAAAAGTAAATATTTTTCCTAACATTTAATTTTAATGTCATGGATTTCCGCAAAGTAACGCCTGATTCTATATTTCCAGTAAATTTAAATAGTACATTTGACTATACTTATCTACTATTTAAAAAACGAAAGTATTCGAAAAGATTAAAATCATGATAACTATTCCGATTTTATGAACTTAACACAATATCATTAAATATGGCCGTCGTTTTGTGGATCAAATTAATAAAATACACATTTCTCTAAAATTGCCTAGAAAAACTAAATTAAGAAAGCTTTTTATTAAGGGTTGATTTTTCAATGGTTAGATAAAAGTTACCTACGGAATAATTATGATGCTGTCGCGTCAGAATGTTTGTATAAGACAGTGACAGCAACAATTTTATTCCTTAGATAACATTTATCTGACTATTGAAAAATGATCCCTTACTAAAATAGATTTATAAATATTTCACCTAAGTATTTATGTATGTAGTAATATGTAAAAATAGCACATATGAGGCTTAGAATTACGTAAAAATTTATAATTAAATATTTAAATATATTTAGGCGTGTAAATAACGTCTCATACCAAAATGAAGGACAGTTTTCACCTTCAAAATCATAATCCGAGCCATAAGGAATTAAAATGTTAAGTCACCATGGAGTTTCTTGCTCGAAGAATGGTCATTTTTGGAACGAGCATAAACAAATGTAGATATATATACTGAAGAAATTATTCACAGAGATTATCTATTATTTATATGATAGCTAGACCTTCTGAGAGCTTCTTTATGCAAGAAGGGTTGGGCACGATCCCCTTGTTTACCAAGCGAGGTTTTTTTCTATGAGGGGAAAATTATCAACTGACTTCTGGTGTCAGTGGTCTTAATGACTAAAAAGCCCCTCGTTTCTTCTCCTGCTCTAGACCGAGGTTTTTTTTTGTGAGGGGAAAATCATCAAATGACTTCTCCCGCCCAGGGCCGGGCAGGAGGGAGTGCCAGACTCTTACTGACTAAACACCCCCCTGTTCCTTCTCCTGCTCTGTGCCGAGGTCGCGGTGACTCATTGCGCTTACCCCGCAACCCCGGCTGAACATCAGCCCTATGGGGCCCCGTCTGTGGTGGTCTAATCTCTCTTTGATGCGTGCGCAATTTTGACGTTTCGAAAGTACCTATTAGTGGTTTAGTTGGAATAAATGATTTTGAGTAAACTGTATGACTTTGGCAGTAAGGTGTTTTTTACACCTTCCACAATTTTCAACAAAAATCAACAACAATTTCATTTTAAACTTTTGTTAAATATTTTTATTATAACTTTCGTGAGATATTCTAAATTATTTATTATGTTTTCGGCTTACTCATGTATCTAATAATTTAACGAGATACTCGACTAGTTTCAAGCCATGCTAAAGACACGTCGCGTCGCGTGTCGCGGAATGCTGCTCATGAATATGGGCCTCTAGCATGGCTTAAAACTAGTCGAGTATCTCGTCAAATTATTTCGTGAGTAAACCGAAAACATAATAAATAATTTTGTTAAATAATTTGGTGTAATCCCCTCTCAGCGCTGCTCTTCCCTCCTCTAGCTCTACTACATGTCACACAGCTTGCTACACGAAGTAGTTACAGCTGTGTGCTATCTGGCACTCACTCAGACAATGCTATTTATATAAATAATAATTAAATATATAAGATACCTACAATATATAAACACAAGGATTGTATACCAAAATTATACCAACATGTGATCGTATTTTAGTTATAAATATAATTATAAGTAAGTAGTAATGTAAAAATACTGTTTTTAAAATAAAGTTTGTTTTTGAAAAAATACATTTGTTTTCATTTTTCTGATGTTAAAATTACAGTTGTACTGACCCAATCCAGCTTCTCTCGGATGTAATGCTGATAATATATTTTTTTCGCTATTTATTGGATGTTATTGCACATATAACCCGTCCTCTTCAATCACTCTATCTATTAAAAAACCGCACCAAAATCCGTTGCGTAGTTCCAAAGATGTATGCATACATAGGGATATAGGGACAGAGAAAGCGACTTTGTTTTATACTATGTAGTGATAATTATCGTAGGTGCCTGGAGGTTTCCGGGAGACCTGGTAAGTACTAATGGGACTTTTTCCGAGTCACATGTGCTTCCTAAGACAAGGCACAGCAGATGACGAAAAACATCATGAGGAAACATAAACTTATTTATTATTTGCTAATTATAAATTTGAAACTGCAAATCCTCAAACATTATGCGTGTGTGAAGAGAACTTTGCTCAGCAGTGGATACTTATAGGCTGATGATGATGATAAAATAAAAAAAATATATCAGTCGCTAATAACGACTTACAGTAGCTGGGTGGTAATCAGAGCCCCAGTATGGTATACACTGGCAAACGAGCAGACGGATTACCTGATGGTAAGCAATCGGCGCCGCCCATGGATGACCACAACACCAGAAAAGTTCCGCGGCGCTACCAGTATTGTGGGGATAAGGGCTTTTATGGATTCAAGGATTAGGGACGGATGAGGGTAAGGATTGGGCCTCCAGTAAACTCGCTCATACAGCGAAACACAACGCTGTGGTTATTTCACGCCGGTTTTCTGTAAGGCCGTGGTATGTGTACGTCGTATGGTATGTATACATGTCATTCGTCAGCTGTGTTTGCCCAATAGACATGTCCCTAGCGAACACTTTGGAGCCTTGGTTCCGCTCTATCGCTTCTTTAACCCTATTGGCGTTAAAGTTGCGGATATCGTGTCGCATGGACTTCCATATTTGTCTATTGAGCTGCCGATGTGCTTTAGCATCGGCAGAGGTCTGGAGTACCATAGCACGTCGTTCTGCCATGAGTTTGAGGGTGCGATCGGTAAGCTTCTGCGGTCTGTCTTTTCGGCGGGGTCTAAAAAACTTCGACCCGACCGCATGGACAGTTTCTACAAACCTGTTGCTAATCTCGTCCACTGACTCGCAATTCTCCAGGGACTCAAAACGATTCGATAGCTCGATCTGAAAGCTCTCGGGACAACCGATATGTGCATTTGAAGGTCGGAGCGTAGACTTCATCAGACGGGATCTTTCCAGCTTTATATTGATATTCAATGTGCCTCTGACCAGTCGGTGATCGCTGCCGGTTTTTACTTTATGGATCACAGAGACATCATTGAACATCTGTCGCTTTGTTGCCATGATGAAGTCGATCTCATTTTTTTGTGGAACCGTCCGGGCTCATCCAGGTCCATTTCCTGTGAGACGGCTTCTGGAAAAAGGAGTTCATCGCAAAGAGGTCCTCCTTCTCCAGGAACTCAGCCAGTCTCTGTCCCCTGTGGTTCCGTTGCCCATACCCGAATTGCCCCACTCTCAGCTCGTTATCGCCTCGAGTTCCCAGTTTCGCGTTGAAGTCCCCCATAACAACATTGAAGTAAGTTTTATTAGTATGTATGGCCCTACTTATGTCCTCATACATAACCTCTACTTCCTCGTCTGGGTGTGTCGAGGTCGGTGCATAAACCTGGATAACCTTCAACGAGTATCTATTGGATACCCTGAGTATCAGGTACGCCACCCTGCTCGACACACTTTCGATGGTTAGAATGTTGTTGACGAGGGACCTGTGGACGAGGAACCCGACACCACCTTGTGACAGTTGTTCGCCCTCCCGGTAGTAGAATAGGTTGCCGGATCTTAGGGTTATCGTGTCCTCGCCCTCTCGTCGGACTTCTGACAACCCCACAATACTCCAGTGCAACCTACCCAATGCCTCTTCCAGCTCAATAATCTTCTCGTCTGTCCTCAAAGTGCGAACATTGTGTGTTACCAGGGCCAGTCGTCGTCGGGGGTGGTAGCCTTTTCTCCACCTCCGGGGATTCTTAGCACCCCGTGTCCCGCCGTTACCCTGACCGCTACCACGGTAGCCAGGAACGGCGGGACTGCCGGAGACTGGGGGCCTGGTTTTATCTGAGCAGTTCATTTGGGGGGGGATTTGCCAATACTCACCACGTTTGGCAGGCGGGTTGGCGAGCGCAGTTAGGTCATCGATAATTTTTAAAGAATGCTGCTCCCCATTCCTCGGTGTCTGGTCGCAGTTTTAGGACATACCCGGGTCCCAATACTTTTTATTACAGTAATAATAATGTAATGAAAATAATGAAATATAAAAAATATAAAGAAAATATAATGAAAAGTAATAATAAAAGTATTGGCTAAAAAATATTTAAAATGTAGTGTATCGATCGATCGATGAAAAAGACTACCTACAGTTATTTTTTAGGAAAAAAACTCTAATTATAAAAAAAGATTTCAAAGAAATATATACCAGGGTGCAAAAAGACACTTAACGAAGCCGTTAACTACGCATACTGCAGTTCTAACTAAGTAGCTTTGCGCTAAAATTATCACTGGGAAACGTTTTATTTTTAGGTATCAAAAAAATAATAATTTTATTGCGCGCAATGTAAAGCAAACGGGCTTCGTGTCATTGTGTGCGTAGGTTCACAGCTTAGCATTAAAACGCTGTGATAAGTACGTAGGTCGACGTTTTACTTCGCAACAACAAAACAATTCTGTAAAAATAAAAATCCTACAGAGATGCACGATGTTTTTTGTGCGGGTCTGCATTTATTTATTACGTACATTACTGTTCGTAACTTCAAATGCGTAATTTATTTAGGAAAATCGAAAATTTAGGTGATGTTTGTTTGGAAAAAAGTTTTGTAATAATACTTAGAATTCGATTGCACAAAAAAAAAATTAAAAATGCATCCTTGACCTTCAATATCTCGAGAACCCGTGGAGTCCCAGCTATGGTCTTAACGTAAAAAATGATCCAACTGATGGGTAGAACACGTGGCTTTCGGCTTCGTTATTGTCGTTGGTGTCTTTTTACACCTTGTATATCTAAGGGAGAAAACAAAGAACTAGGCGTATTATCGAACGAGTTTATTATATTCATCCAAAATTTGCATCACAAATATCATTTCATCAAGCGTTCTTTTGGCTTCTTTCTTATTTTTCTTCATATAAAGTATATAGTTGTCTTCCAAGCCGTTTTTAGTTCCATCCTCTATCAGCGTAAATAATCTTAATACAGTCACATGGAGGAGTAGTTCTAGAAGAGTCTTATCTTCTGTATTGATGTACAGGTTTCTTAAATTGTCGTACCAATGTTGGTTCTTGTATTTCGTTATTTTCGCTATGTTTTTCACTGCATCGTGTAACTGGAATGAGGAAAAAATTGGGAATTTTAGGATTTTTTTTTGTATTTTATATGGAGGTACAGAAAGATTGTCAATGTTATAAATGCGAAAGTTACGATTTTTGGATGTTTGTTACTCAATCACGCCAAAACGGCTGGAAGGATCCGTATGAAATTTGGCACAGGCATAGTTTACACTCCAGAATAGGATAAAGGCTACTTTTTATCAACATACCACGCGGGCGAAGCTGAGGGCGGAAGCTAGCGGCCATATGCCTGTCAATCTACACTAATATTATAAGGAGATAAAATTTGTAAGTTTGTATGTAGGAGGTAATCTTAGGAACCGCTGGTCAGAATTTCAAAATTCTTTCACTCATAGATAGCTGCAACGTTCCTAAGTGCTATAGACTAAAACATCACGCTGCTACCTAATACATATAAACCTTCTCCTCTTTAATCACTCCACATCAAAATCCGTTGCGTAGTTTTAAAGATTTAAGCACACATAGGGATATAGGAACAGTAAAAGCGACTTTGTTTTATACTATGTAGGTAGTGATGACATACCTCAAACAAATTATCTTCAATGCTCATAAGAAACCGATTCAGCTTCCTCATCGCTCCTATCTCATAAACGTCAGGTACCTCTTTCCTTAAATACAACCAGACTTTATTTTTAAGTCCTTTCCCCTCCAGAAGTTGTAAGGCCTTCTGCTTAATATTTTGGTCTAAAGCTATGTTCTTTCTTAGCTGGTCTCCGAAATCATTTGCCTCAATTATCTCTGTTCCTAACTCTTGAAGAAAAAGCACGTATTTTAGGATCTCCATGTCTGATGGGTGTAATTTACGTCGAGCTGCTGCTAAGCCACTAAAAATGTAAGTTAAATTATTAACCTAATAAATACAGTTATTAAAAAAATCAGAAGTCAAAATTCCTTATTTCAATTAGACCCTTACAAGCACTTTTGAATGACAAACAAAGCTTTTATAGATAAAAAGTGTCAGTCTGTCGATCAGTCCTCTTAGTGAAGCTATTTAGGTACTCGTTCCAAAGTGTAGATTTCTATTCGAAGAACGAGCAAGAAACTCCATGGTTACTCTTTTTAAATCAGTTTTATCGACTGCTGCCCATTCCTCGGTGTCTGATCGCAGTGTAAGGACGTAACCGGGTCTAAACTTTCTAACAAAGCCAATAACATAAATCTGATAAGCTAGAGGAGAAAGAGTATCATCTAAAAAACTTACGTCAATTCATAAATTTTCTGCAACGCCGATTGTATATCGACCGTGGAACCTAACCAATCGTATTGTCTCAACGCGTTATTGTCCGTATTGATCATATCTTTTAGTACTTTCAGATAAACGCCAAGCTTAACCTCATCTTTCCTTCTGTTTTTTAGGTTTAAATTCATCTCGTCATACCCCTTCTTTAAATTATCAATTTCAGGTACTTCTTTAAGTAATGCTGCTTTAAGTTTTTCATGTTTATCCAGAAGATCTTGGTAATCTTGCATTTTATCATCCGTTGTGTTATTATGTTCTGAGATTTGAATTTCATGTAGTGGATGTTTCTTCACTGTTTTCTTTTCGTCAGAGTTATTCTTTATTTTAAAATGTTTATGATTTTTAAGGTCGTTTTCGTGTGTTTCGGGTAAATCATGTTCATCAACAAAACTATTAATTTCAGAAAAACTTTCTGTTTTTATGAATGGGTCATTGATATTGAGATATTTACCGTGTGGTGTTGGTGGTAGTGGAGTGGCTGGGTTCAGTTGATCTCTTTCATTTTGTCTTTGATGTTCCATGAATTTCAAAATGTTCTGCTTAAAATAATCGTCAATTACATAAAGTTCCTTTGTACTGTTATTATTCTTTAAGTACCCAACCTTTTTTATATGTTCATCGTTAAGTATGATGTCATTGCCTTTATTTTCAACTATCGAGACAGTCTCGTCTAGTTTTACTCTATCAACATTATATTGTTTTGGCACTTTAACTGTTTGTTCTTTTTGGTGTTTTCTAACTTTATCATGATTATTTGGCTCTCTTTCTTCAGGAACGCTGTTTCTTAAGGCATGATGCCTAATTTTGTCTGTACCGACATGGCGTTGTCTCAATATTCTTTTACGGATAATTTTCTTAGTAAATTGTTCATTGCCATCGTGACCGTATTTATCTTTGTCGAGGAGCCCGAAAGATTTTTGATGGAATAGTATATTTCTAACCGCTCTTACGTGATCTTTAAGATTGCCTTCTTGGATGCTATGGGTGGGGTGATCATTTTCATCAGAGTTCGGAAACGTATTGAGTTCACCTTTATTATTTCTCCTTTTACTTTGTCTACCAAAATAATAATCAACGTCTGCATAATCTTGATCGTTTTGGCTATCAAACTGCTGTTGGTAAATATATCTCGGTTCATTGCCAAATTTCTTTCTTCTGATATCTAAATCTGATTTGGAATTATATTCTTCTATTTCTATTTCTTCATTGTAATTTTCATTGGGTTTTAAATCTGATAAGTTCTCTATAACTTCGTCATCAGCTGAAATGTCAAGTTTTTCTACACTTGGGTCGCCTGGGTTCGGGCCTAGACGGTTTTCTGGGTTAAAATAAGCATTTTGCGGTGCATAATTGTAAATAGGAACGTAAAACGGCTGCTCTACCATTGATACTTCGTCTTTTATAAATGGGGTTTTGTCAGCACCTGTAAATTATATTTTTATTAATAAATTCTATTGATGGCATAGCTATAGTTTTATCGCACTGCAATATCACACGATTGTTTCTTTTATTTGACCGACGAAAATCATCAATCTATTTTGCCCTATCGCTAGTGACAGACTCTTACTGACTAAAAACTACCCCTCTCTTCTCCTACTTTAGGCCAGGCGACGGTGTAAACTTTAGGGCGGAGGACAGATTTATGTCGTTATATGTTCAATACCTAAGTCACATTATTCAAGATATAGATTGGAAAGAATACACAATAAACTCTTGAGTGCAATTTTCGAATGTCAACCAGCATAAGGCGCTAAAGCCAACCGAACCCGATGGTAAGCAATGGGCATCGCCCACAGACACTGACAATAAAAAGTGCGTTATCCTTATAGAGATGGGGGAAAAATTGGGGATACGGAGATATAGGGAAGGGTTTGGGGGTAGGATTGGTCCAACAGTTACCTATCTCCGTTTTCCTGAGAGGTCGTGGTATTACTCCGGTCGAGCCGGCTCATTGGTAAAGCATGGCATTCAAACATTAAAATTGTTGTATTCTGTGATACTGCTAATAATTGTGTTAATAGAGATATAAATCTCTCTCTCTCTCTCTCCCTTTCTCTCTCTCCCTCTCTCTCTCTCCCTCTCTCTCTCTCTCCCTTTCTCTCTCTCTCGTTCCTTCTTTCTCTCTCTCTAATGACAAAATTACAGTCTTGAATGTGACCAGATACCAGAAACGAGTTATTAGTTTAGTTGCTACTTAAATAGGACTGCATGATAGGCGTGAGGCCAGGAGAAGAAAGGTGATTTGAAGTCAGTAAGAGCCTAACACTCCCTCTAGGATGGAAGAATGTAGAAGAATTTGATGTATTCCTACTCAGAAAAAAGAGCAAGAAGAACTTTGAAAAAACCTACACCACTTTAATGAAAATTTAAGTAAAATTGGCAAATTTTTTGCCTGCAAACGAACTCGGGCACAACAGCTAAATCCTTAAACGGAGCATGGTTTAAAAACAACTTACTTATCTCATAAACTTGATACCCGTTGCCTTGTTTCACTTTATAATTATTATCATAATAAACTTTCTCCAGTTCTATAAAGTTTTTATCCGGATTAGGTTTCTCAGCTTTAACTTCTTCATCCTTTTTACCTTTGGGTCCCAAGAAAACCTTTCCAAGTTTATGCACCTTCGTTTTACCACTTTCCGATGTTTCCGTCTCAACGTATTTGTCACTTCCTACCAATATTTCAGGCGCAATTTCTCTAGTATGGTCTAAAGCTCGTTGTTTGATTTTCTTTTCTTTAGCTCTGCGTTTCGTCTTTTTCTTTTTAACTTGTTTTGTTTTATTTACCGGAGGAGAAGTGAATTCTTCTACTATGATGTTAAATTCTGTTGTTGTTTCAGGATATTCTGTTGTTAGTGGATCGCTTGTTTCTACTTCTTCAATTTCAGTTTCAGTTGTAAGAGGTACTGGTTGAGTTGTTTTTTCAACATTAGTCGTTATTGTTGTTGTACTTTCTGTTCCTGTGCCTTCATTTTCAGAATCTGCATCAGCTCTTATTTTGGGTTCATCCGTATCATTGTCTGTAGTCGTATCGTCCTTTTCATCTTCTATATTATTTTTGTCTGTAGTAGCTTTAGTTTTTCGTACCTTTACCGTTGTAATTTCTTCACTCGATATATGATTAGATTCGTCTAAAATCTTTTCGTCTGATTTAAGTCCAAATAACTCTATCGCTGAAGTAGTAGCTGTTATGTTGCTAATTTCTGTAACATTATATTCGTCCGTAGATTTTTTTGACAATGGTTCATCTATATCACTTATAGCTGCACCTTCACTGTCTGTCTCTTTTGAACCGCTATTTTTATCTTGTGCTAATTTTATATCATCTTTTTTATCCACAATTGTTTCTACTGTAGTAGGTTTTTCTTCATCTGTAACTTCATCCTCACTTTCATTGACATCAGTACTATTTTCATGGTCATTCGTTTCCGTTACGGTTTCTGGTATCGAAGCTGTAGACGTAATAATATTTTCTCGATCTGTGGAGCTCGTTGGCGGTTTAACAGTACTATTTTCATCATTTTCAGTTTTGTTACTTGAATTCACTCTAGTCAAATTCTCTGCTGTGATCTCATCACTTTTATCATGTCTAGTCGGATCAACGTTTTGGATTGATCTCTTTATAATAGGTAGTTCATCAGTAATGATCTCAACTTTAATATAATCAGTAGGTGCCACAAGATTTGCGTTACCTCTTCTATCATTGCGTATTGTTAGATCAGATGGTTCTACATGTATCTCACTATCATCTTTAGAATCAGGCTTATTACTTGTGTTTTTAGCAAGCTTGCTTTGTCTTCTTATATTTTCAGATTCTTCTTTTAAAACAGCTTTGACGTACTCATTGTGTCTTTTAAGCTGTTCGTCGTTAATTTCTGTGCTTCCATAATTAGTTTTATTCTCTTGACTTTCTACGTCTTTCAGTATACGCCTAGCTACTTGTTCTATGAACTGTAATTTCTCTTCTTCTGGTAGCAGATCGACGTATTTATCTTCATCACTGTCCGCATATATTCCAATAAATAAAATAACTAAGACCACCAACATTTTACATCATTTTGTTTATAAACTTTGTAATTTTGTTTCTCGTCTGAAATCTTACTCCAATCAAGCGTAAAGAAGTTATGGTTTGACTGATAACAATAATTACTTTTTCTCCAATGACAAAGAGTTGGCAGTTTGAATTCATTTCAGTTTATTGCTTTGAGTGATGGAAATTGTAATGGATTTGGAGATCAGTTTGATTGCATTTTATCTTAGTTGGATAACTTATAATTGTCTTGGTTTAAACTTGTAAGTGTGTGTTAGGGTCTTGTTGATAGGAGCTGAAATAATTTATTCGAACTGTATTCAACGTTTATTCTCGACTCGGCCTTAAATAATGGCAATTTACAAAGATTTCGATACATTTTTAAATCGGCCTGAGACAACCACGGCGGTGTGTTTCGCCCAATAACTGAGGTTACCGGAGGCCCAACCCTTCTCCTCCCCCAATCTATCCCCAATTCCAAAATACTAAAGAGTCAGCAATACACCCTTTACTACATTGCTGATTGCTTTCCATCAGGTAATTGATCAGCTCGTTTGCCATTTATAAAAATCTTTCAGCTTCTCAATTTTCCTTATATTAATCTTTAAAGCAATGATATTATAAGTAAAATGATGTAGATAGGTTACCTAAACAACATTCGATTTACAAAAACGACACACTGATACATATATGAAAAATTCGTATGTTTAGACGTCAAAGTGAGATGGCATGATTCAATAATCGCGAGTGAAAAAGAGACAAATATGAAAAAATGTGGTCAGTTAGCCACATTTTAATGTATCACTTGCTGAGCGTTTGTAACCTATCTACACCTTTTTACTAATAGCTTTTAAGTATAGAAACAATGCTTAATGTCATTATTATAAAAAATAGTGGCGACACATATAAGATCAACTTCAATTTTCAACGGCCGACTTTACAAGTCATATATCGTGCCAGTGAAGTTAGCGCGCGATATAAAAAGGACAGAAAATAGTGCGAGAGAGTCATGCATCGACACGAATGGGTCGGGTCAACCGGAGTGATACCAAGGCCTCACAGAAAACTACCGTAAAACAACCACAGCGTTGTGTTTCGCCGTGTGATTGAGGTTACCGGAGACCCGTTACTTCTTTTTATCCCACAATCCACTCTATCCCTGAACCGAAATCTGTCGGGAACGCACTCGATGTCCATCAACGGTGCCAACTGCTTACCATCAGGTAATCTGTCTGCTCGTTTACCGACCGACATAGAAAAGGACGGGCGGCGCAGTGATTTCCTTAAATTATTTACTAAAGGTACCTACGTAAAACTAAGATATGTTTCTATACTAATATTATAAAGAGTTAAAATTTGTAAGTTTGTATGTAGGGGGTAATCTTTGGAACCGCTGGTCGGATTGCGAAAATTCTTTCACTGATAGATAGCTACAATGTTCCTGAGTGAGCAGAGCAGCGGGTGAAACCGCGCAATAATAGCTAGTAAGATATAAGAAAGAAGCCAAAATATAATTAATAAATTACTGACAATGTTTCCTTAAGTATGTATGTGATCAGACAAATTAGTATTTTTAGAGCACATTGGTAAAATAAAAAAACAAAATCGAAATTAAATGAACGTTTTCATTTATTTATTTCCACTTAGAATGCTTTTATTTACAATTTATTAACTTAATATGAACTTAAAATTAACTTAAACATTAGTTGTTGGCCACGTCAATAACTTATTTCTACGGAACAATTATCCTTTCATTATATTCAATTCTTGGTCTTACTCATTTCCAAAAATGAAAGATAAAAGATTTCTTCAAAGCATAGCCATAGATCAAAAGAAGAATCCTATATAAAAGGTCCTAATGCCAAACACCGGGCAAAGAATTTCCAAAATGGAAAATATCTCTAAGACTTTTTCTGGCTTCAGAATCGAACCTAAAACCTCAGTATACCATATTTGACAACGGACAAGGCAGAAGACGCAACAGATTTTCGAAATCGAAAATCTTTTTAAAGTATTTCCCGATGCGGGAATCGAACTTACGACCTCATCATTGGTCATCACGTTAGACAACTTATTCAATGAGGCATTTGTGAAAGAAATAGAGAAAGACCAAAATTAAAAATTCATCAATTAAACATCACCTCTGAACCTAAAGGTCCTCCTTCTTAGAACTCTTTCATTTCTCATAACTTCTCTTTTAATCTCCAACTCTCTTCCATCATCCATATCTCTTCCATAGTCTTTCATCTCATCTTCGCTTTCATTTTCATTATTTCTGCTTTCATTACCATTATCTACACTTTCAATTTCAGTATCTTTCCTTTCATTATCGTTATATCCACTTAAATTTTCCTTTTTATCGGTTATTATCAAAATATTTTCATTATTTTTCTCTCCGTACATATCTTTTACATTTCTTATATTCTTCTCCATTACAATTCTGTCTAGTTCCTCTTCATTCTTCTGATCTAATTCTGTGTCTTCTGTATCAGTATCAACGTTCTCAATCACTGCTTCAATCAGAATCGGTGCATCTGTTTCTTTTTTCGCCAATATTGGTTTCAAGTGTTCTTTTAAATCATCTTCAATGCCTCTCATTTCTTCTTCCATTATAACGTTATGCATTATAATGTTCTCTCTTCTCTTCTCTGGCTTCCTCTTTTGAATTTTTCTGTTACCTTCTTTCTTTGATTCTTGTGTTTTGTTCTGTTCTTTTCCTATTTCCATGTTTAGGTGGTAAAAGTCCGGAGAATCTTTGCAGTCGATTGAATCCGCGGCATATGTGCAGGTTAGAACTTCCTGTAAGTTAAAAAAATAAAAAAATATATTTAGTATTTTTGTAGTTGATAGAACATTTGACACAAAATAATTAGAATGTCACTGTTCAGTACTGTCATACAGGATGCATAGAAATGTATTTCATCATAAGATGTTACTTGCAAATTTTCGGCTACCGGAACAGTTCAATGTTAAGGGTTTTTTCATTAGAGCCACTAAAGAGTGGATTTCTTTGACAGGTATGTGAAAGAAGAAATAAATAAAAACCATTTATTTCACACACAAATGACGCAAGAAACAAATACACACAAATATGGCTATCTATGGACAAAACAAACAATGAACATAAAAAAAGCACTGCAATTGCGTCACTCATGCGTGAAAAGGGGCAGCGCTCAGCATAAATGCTGTGTCTCGCGCACGCAGGCACGAAACAACAGCGCTGACCACAATGTGCTTCCCGAAGTGTAAAACTTAGGTGTCTTCAAAGCCCAAGTGAATAGGTTGCTTATGGGTAGGCGTGCTCCATCGTAGGTCGCATCACCGCTTACCACCAGCCGAAATAATGGCCAAACGTCTCAACTCAATAAAATGCTTCTTAATTTCTTACCTGATTGAAAACCGTTTCATTAGGACATATGAAACTCCATCGGTAGGTAACATTACGACCTGAAGGCGTTTGAGAGGGTAGGCAGACATGGAAGACTTGGCAATCATTGTCCACATCAGCGTAGTAACCATAGGTACGATTCTCGCAACTGTGGACAAAGTTTATGAGCACATTAATTGAGCTAGAAGACAGATGAGTGATTCCCATTCTTCACTGGTTTCGTATTGCTAACTCTAAAAACACATAACACAAAATACATAATATTTATAATAGTTTACGAGATTAAATTTATAAACGAGAGGAATCGATGCAGAAATATTCGATTTCCATATCGAATAATTTCGCAACGTCACTATTTAGTACGTGCCCTAACGTTGCAACACTGAAATGGTCAAATCTGGAATGGAATTAAAATTTCGAGTATAGAAACCACTGACATACGGTGAAGGAAAACATTGTATGAAACCTATACCTATTTATAATTTCCAAGTAAACAATAAACAAATACTTTTGAAACATCAAAATAGAATATTGTCTGTCAGTCAGGTGCTCATTTTTTTTTTATATACATACTTTTTATTGAAGTTCATCAATATATTATTAAAAAACACATTATTGTATCTATATGTGAGAATAATGCAGAGAACAAGATGTTAGACAAAAGAACAAACGATTCTTTATCTTCTCGAAGTTAAAGTTTGAAATCGCCAATCTGCCTTCAGCAAGCGTGGTGGTTAATGCTCAAACCCTCTCCGTGTGAGTAGAGGCCTTTACTCAGCAGTAACCACTTATGATGATAAAAAATAACTGTGTGGGCTAAACATTTAAAAGTTTGATGGTATTACTAGCTACTCGGTGACCGAGATGCTCGGCTCCATTTCATCGTAGCGTAATGTTTTTAGCCTATAGCACTCAGGAACATTGTAACTATCTATCATTGAAAGAATTTTGGCAATCCGACCAGCGGTTTCAAAGATTACCACCTACATACAAACAAATTTTACCGCTTTATAATATTAGTATAGATTCGCATAACATATGGTATATTTGAAAGATTTTATGATAATGAAAAATCTGCGTAACATAACTTTTTAAGTTTCCAATTATAACCAAAGATGTATATAGATTCCATCATTTAAATGTGGGAGAGCCATACTTCGGCACGAATGGGTCGGCTCGACCGGAGTGATACCACGGCCTCACAGAAAAGTGTGAAACAACCACAGTGTTGTGTTTCGCCGTGTGAGTGAGATTACCGGAGGCCCAATCCTTCCCCTCCCCCGATCCCTCCCCAATCCCTAAATCTCCAAAACCCTAATCCCTAAGAGGTCGTCAATGCACTCGTAACTCCTTCGATGCGGGTGTCCATGGGCGGCGCTGATTGCCTACCATCAGGTAATCCGTCTGCTCGTTTACCGATCTATCAAAAAAAAAGATTAAAAATACTGAAAACCTTACCTGAAAGTGTCAGTAATATTTTCTCTGATTGACGAAGCGTTCGCTGGCAAATTGAGAGTATCAGTCTTTGTAGCATTTACGGCTTCCTGAAAAATACGAAGCATTTACAAATTACAATAAAATGTAATGATAAAAATTTATTGAGGTTACTGGAGCCCCAAATCTTCCCTCCCTCGTCCTCAATCCTCAAATCCCCTATTCTTAAATCCCCTAATAACCCACCGGCAACGCACTTGTAGTAACTCCTTTGGTATTACGAGTGTCCATGGGCGGCGCTGATTGCTTACCATCAGGTAATCCGTCTGCTCGTTTGCCGACTAATGAGTTTAAAAAAATTACTATTACATTTATTTTTTCATATCGTCATGATTTTTTATTCCTGAATGGATTCGCAAAGATACATATTAGTTTAAGTGTGGGAGAGCCATGCTTCGGCACGAATGGGTCGGCTCGATCGGAGTGATACCACGGCCTCACAGAAGACCGGCGTTGAACAACCACAGCGTTTTCCCGTGTGTCTCCCCATCCCTTCGCAATCCTTAATGATCCGAAACACAAAAGGACAACAACGCACTCGTAACTCCTTCGATGTGTGCCATGTGCGGCGCTGATTGCTTACCATCAGGTAATCCGTCTGCTTGTTTGACGACCTTTGTCGTTAAAGAAACTTACTCGAAATGTGTTGAGCGGAACCAATTCCCGTAATTGTATATCAAGCCGGTCACTCTTCACGAACGTTATTAAAAAGAGTATAAGCAAATGTCTAGGTCGAACCAGCGCCATTTTGTTTTCACGCCTGAAAAAAAGAAAAAAAAGCTTTTAAATAATCAGAGTTAAGTCATCATCTTCCTGTAATTGTCCCGTTTTATTTGGGGTCGAAGCAATATGTTTTTTTCTTCCATTCTGTCTATATGTCTATCTGTCAAATAATCAGAGTTGAGTCATTTATAAAAATGTAGTTCATATTTTTTTACAATGCACGTTTGACGCGGTGGTTGGGCAACTGGCTGCCGTGCAACGTGTCGCGGGTTCGCCCATTCGGAACAATATTCTTTGTGTGATCCACAGATTGTTGTTCCGGGTCTGGGTGTGATGTGTATGTGAAATTATATGATTAAAAAAGCAACCACGACATCGGAGAAATCCTAATATGGGATTTTTTCAACGTTTTATTAAGAAATCATTATTAAGATCACATTACACCTAATTACATTGTCTTTCAACGATCGTGACTAGGAATGAAACTCGAGCACTTACAAACCTCAGTCGGACTTGCAACCAATGAACCAATGAAGCAGTTAAAAAGAAATTAAAACCTTCAAAGAAACGAATATTATAAATGCGAAAGTAACTCTGTCTGTCTGTCTTTTCTTAACGCCTAAACTACTGAATCGATTTCTGTAAAATTTGGTAAGTACAGACATAGTTTGGAACACGAGAAAAGACATAGGATAGTTTTTCACTTTTTTTCTTTTTAGTCACTATTCCACGCAAACGGAGTCGCAGGCAAAAGCTAGTTAATAAACAAATGAAATAATGAGGGTAACACCTGACAAGTACCAATGTGACTTATGCCAACTTTCAAAGTAAATTTAGACACCACTTACATACAGTGAATGAAAACATCGTGAGGAAACCTGGACTTACAATTTCTAATTCTAATTGTGAAATAGCCAATCCGCCTTGAGCCAGCTTTTTTAAGAGAAAACATCATCAGCCTGTTGTCGTCCACTGCTGGACATAGGCCTCCCTAATTGCACGCCACTTTTCAGCGCTTCTCATCCAACCACTGCCAGCCACCCTGCGGATGTCGTCAGTCCACCTAGCTGGAGGGCGCCCTACACTACGTTTGCCTAGACGTGATCTCCACTCTAGAACACATCTGCAGACGACTACTCGTCTGAATTTCCGTCTACACGGAAAAGACTAAAAGAAAACAATACGTTAAAGGCAAAACAAATAAATGCACTAATACTCTTAAATTTCTAACTGAAGATTATTATTTATTTATATTTTTATTTATTTATTAGACTTTTGCTCATACAACTGTGTACAAGGTGGACTTAATGCCACAGGAATTCTCTACCAGTCGAACCTTTGGGCGATGCAGAGATAACTGTAGGTGCAAGAAGCAAGCAAAATTGAAATATTACTAAGTCAAAAAAAAAGTCAAAAATCATTTATTCCAATTAGACCTTTACAGGCACTTTTGAACGTCAAACAAAATTTTGAAGATATAGTGACAGTCTGTCGGTCAGTCCTCTTAGTGAAGCTATTTGCTCGTTCCAAAGTGTAGATTCTGATGGAGAAGAACGAGCAAGAAACTCCATGGTTACTCTTTTTAAATCAGTTTCACATACAGATTCCTTTTACAAACAGTTGGTTCAATTATGTGAGAACAGTGTAACACTAATATTTATTCAAATATAAAAATAAAGTAACCTTAAAGACAATAGACAGTCTGGAGCTGACCAGTCCCAACTGACGGCGCCCGTTCACGAACATGACACGTACACCAGCATCGCCCAACTCAACCATATTATAGGGAATTAAGCGATCCAGCGCCCATGCCACCGCCAGTGTGACCACTAATATGTTACACTAATATGTTATACACCTAATTACATAAACACTATCAAAATAAATAAACATATATAATGATATCGGAAATAAACTTTTACCCCTACCTTAACACTGGTCCCAAAAATTCAACACACACTTAACAAAAACAAACTTATGAAACAAAAATAACTACAAGACCTTCAAAAAAAAAAAAACTCTTACATGTCTATACCGTTGCCAGTTTTTCAGGCCAATGGTACTACGAAGTTAAAGAGACGATTTAAATACGTAACGCCAAAATGTACTCCTAAAAAATAACCAAAGCAAAATATTTATAAATAAATAATTCAAGTAAAAATTCATTATTTAGATTGATCATAGAACATAGGACTATTGTTTCGTTTTAATTTTCAATGGATAGTTCGCAGGTCTATTCAGATATCGTCATGGTTTTAAATTTTTAAAACAAACAGTTAATCATGTTCAAATATAATTAAATCATCATAATGAATCAACTTTATAACAACAATAAAATCAAATTTTGGAGAACCATCGACTCTGTTAGGTCGAGATGAAGGATTGAGAAGTGTGGGAGAGCCATGCTTTGGCACGAATGGGTCGGCTCGACCGGCGTGATCTACGGCCTCACAGAAAACCGGCGTGAAACAACCACAGCGTTGTGTTTCGCCGTGTAAGTGAATCCTTAAATCTCCCTAATCCCCAAAAGGTCAGCAACGCACTTGTAACTTCTCTGTTGTTGCGGGTGTCCATGTGCGGCGCTGATTGCTTACCATCAGGTCAAAAAAAGATTGATAGTGACACGGTCTTTCAGAAGGCCTTGCATTGTCCAAGTGTTATTACAGAAAGTGACAGTCCTTAAAAAATCTTTTCTCTATTCCTTAAATCCTTAAAAGGTAGACAACGCACTCGTAACTCCTCAGTTGTTGCGGGTGTTTATCGGCGGCGCTGATTGCTTACCATCAGCTTCACATAGAAGAACGCACTTGTTAAATAACGCTTGCGTTGCGTAAGAGATTACAAGGGATCACAATTTATAAAAATCTCTTTCCGCAATCCTAAAATTCCTTACAACCTACAAAAGGACAAGGTAAGGTAAGGTAACTTCTTTATTGTAGCGGGTGTTAATGGACGGCGCCAATCTTTTCTAGTCCGCTACGTTAACTAAATATTAGTGTTACACTGTTCTCACATAAAAGAACTAACTAAATTATATAACAAAGAATCTGTTTATGGAACTGATTGAAAGAGTGTAACCATGGAGTTCTTAGCTCTTTGGTGAACGATGCTCAAATTTTCTCCGTGTGAAAAGGGTCCTTTGCTCAGCAGAGGGCACTTATAGGCTGTTTGTGTTATGATGTATATTAATAGGACCTTGATCTACTATAAGGTGACTTTCTATGAAAAAATCGCGTCCTGCTTGACTGCACGGTTGGTGCGGTGGCTGGGCAACTGGCTGCCGTGCAACGTGTCGCGGGTTCGATTCCCGCACGGAACAACACTTTGTGTGGTCCACAGATTGTTGTTTCGGGACTGGGTGTCATGTGTATGTGACATTGCATGTTTGTAAACGCACCCACAACACAGGAGAAAATCCTAAAGCGGTGCAAAGGTATAAAAAATACCTGCACTTTGACTGGTTAAATCGAACCCGAGAACTCCGTTGACCGATCTTACAATCGCTCGATCTTTTGTCTCATAAACCCATCATAGCCCCAATACAATATAAAAAAAATGAAGAAAAAAAAAACACTTTTAGTATAAAACTATTGACTCAATCTATCCCTTCGAGAAAATAAAAAAAGAAACAATAAACTTATAAGTACGTATTAAAATAAAAAAAAACACAAAAAAATTACCTACCTCCAAACACGTACTTATAGTTTTTTTGACAATAAATTCACAGTTAACACAAAATTTTACACTTGAAAATATACTTAAGATTATTGTAACACTCCTCCGTCAATACTATGTGTGAACACCCGGATTCTCTCACAAATTGTCATGTATGGACAGGCCAGGTACTGTGTCCGTCTTTTATAAATGTCTTAAGCGAACTTAACTCGAGGAATTTGCAATGATTTCGTACGGACAGCAGAAAAATAAGGTGGTTGTGTATTTTTTTCTATAATTTTTTTTTGTTTTTTTTTTCGTTTCTTTTATAATTTTTAATCAAATTGCCGTTTTGCATGAAAATTTTTAAACGATTTTTTTTATTTCAAATGCGATGAAAATGTAACACTAATCATTAAACAAATGACTACTTTCGGAAAAAGAATCCCATGTTTTTAAAACAAAATTAATTAGCCTTAGCCTAATAAAAACTATTTTGATTTGAAATGGCCAGTACTGCAGAACGGCATTTTTTATAAAATGTCAAATTAATCCTTTTTTATTTACTTTTATTGATCAAATAGAATCAGATATAATAGAAATGAAGTCTGCGTTCCCCAAAGAGTATTATAACTAGGGTGTTTTTAAGGCCCGAGTGAATAGGCTACCTATCGTAGGTCGCATCACCGCTTACCACCAGGCGTGACAGCGGCCAAATGCCTGCCCATTACAAAAAAAAAGGTAATTTTAGCAAATACTGTGATTGCTGTCGTGGTGGCCTGGAGGTTAAGGCGCCCGCTTCTCATGCATGAGGGAGCGGGTTCGAAACCTGGCAAGTACCAATGTGACTTTTTCCGAGTTATTACTTATATACTTTCTATGATTATTTAGACACCACTGACATACGGTGAAGGAAAACATCGTGAGGAAACCTGGACTTATAATTTCTAATTATAAATTTGAAGTCGCCAATCCGCCTTGAGCAAGCGTGGTGATTAATGCTCAAACCCTCTCCGTGTGAGAAGAGGCCTTTGCTCTGCAGTGGGCACTTATAGGCTGTTTATGTGTGATGTGTGTACCTATAAACATCTAGAGATCTAAAGAAAAAGTGTCATTGTGAAAAAACATACAGATACATAAAATACATTACACAGAATTTGCATCACAAAAACTTCTAATAGTATTTTCAAAAACGCATTTTATTTATTTGTTGTTGCGATTGTTAAGTAGCATCTTTTCATTTATTTTAAGTGGTTGTAGTAAGCATTAAAAATGTTGACACTAAAGTTTTCACTTCACTAATACTTAACTGGCCCCGTTGTAAAAAAAACAAAATTAGCATCATTCCTGACTTAGTTTATAAGTAAGTGTGGAAAAGCCATGCTTCGGCACGAATGGGTCGGCTCGACCGGAGTGATACCACGGCCTCACAGAAAACTGGCGTGAAACAACCACAGCGTTGTGTTTCGCCGTGTGAGTGAGGTTACCGGAGGCCCAATCTTTCCCCGCCCCCAATCCCTCGTCAATCCCTAAATCTCCATCCTTAAAATGTCGGCAACGCACTCGTAACTCCTCCGTTGCGGGTGTCCATGGGCGGCGCTGATTGCTTACCATCAGCTAATCCGTGTGCTCGCTTGCCGACATATTACATAAAAAAAATGGTTTTCTCCTACCAACAGACTGATTTTTTTGAGGCGAGAATATCAAAGAAACTACGAATTTATTCTCGTAAATAGGCCATAAAACAGCCCATTTACAAGTCACGTAAAAGTTATACATAATAAATTAAAAATTTAAAAAAACCCCCGACTTTATAAAAACCAAATGTAATGAACGGAACGAGATATCCATAAACAATTATAATTCCTATGAAAATGGATGGATATGGATATGGATATCAAATGATATCAATATATCCATAAAGCGCCATTTTGTAGAGGCAGCCATCTTGGATTTTAAATTTTTCATACCTAATAGTATTTCACTAGTCAAGCCCTTTCATTTGATACCCATATTGATCAAGTTGTAATAAAAAAATGTAAAGCACCATTTTGTAGAAGCAGCCATCTTGTATTTTAAATTTGTCATATGTAATAGTATTCTACTACTCAAGCCCTTTCATTTGATACCCATATTGATGGAGTTTAAAAAAAATATCTAATCTGTCATTTTGTGGCGGCGGCCATCTTGGAACAATTTTCATCAAACTTACGTAAAAACACTCTCGACATTTTCTACTGTCAAACAAAAAAAACTAAATCAAAATCGGTCCATCCGTTCGGCGGCTAGAGTGGTACAGACAGACACACACACACACACACAGACACGTCAAACTTATAACACCCCGTCGTTTTTGCGTCGGGGGTTAAAAATAGATGAAGCCAATATCATCAAATGACTTCTTTTGCCCGTACGTATATGGCGAGTGGGAGTGTCAGTCTCTTACTGTCTAAAAACCCTCCGTTCCTTCTCCTGCTTTAGGTCGACAGCCCCGGCTAAACAGTAGGACGCTATTCCAGATCCCAAAAAAGTCTACCAGTTTCAAATGACAACGGGACTCTTATTATGAGCAGCGTGTGCAAGGTGACGTCACGCTGCCGACACAATAAAAATAAATGAAGAATATTTTCCAAAAAAGGAACACGTAATTAAACATTTGTTAAATCCAGTTTTCCAACAAAAAACCCTTACTAACAACTCGCTCGCAAAAATTAAAAATACCTAAACACAAAACCTTTTTTATGCCAACCGTACTATGATCTTGGCTTTGGCAGTGTTGGCAATATGTGACATGAAAACATAAAAATGGCGACAAAAAACAAAACCAAATATAAGTATATACCGTTCACAATTTATAGATACCTTCACGTATCGCTAGACATAACATCACGACCTTTTAAAGCCGTGGGTAAGCACTTCTTAATTATATTAGTCATTTGATAGGAGAGTGAAACTTCATGCTTCGACCGAAGTTAAGCGTTGAATTTCGCCGTGTGAGTGAGGCTACTGGAGGCCAAATCGACTGCACGGTTGGCGCTGGCTGGGCAACTGGCTGCTGTGCAACGTGTCGCGGGTTCGATTCCCGCACGGAATAACACTTTGTGTGAACCACAAATTGTTGTTTCGGGTCTGGGTGTGTTGTGTATATGAATTTGTATGTTTGTGAAGGCGCCCACGACACAGGAGAAAATCTAAGTGCGGCACAACGTTTTTGAAAAAGAAGAAGAAAAAAGAAAACTTCACTTCCTATTGCGGCCTGACCTGGGGCAGGAGAAGGAGGAGGGACGGGATAGTTTTTAGTCAGTTAGAGTCTGACACTGATGACTTCTCTCGCCCTAGGTGGGGCTCGCCCTAGGTGGGGCGAGAAAAGTCATCATCATCATCATCATCATCATCATCATCATCATCATAAGCATCAGCAGGAAGACTTCCACTACTGAACAAAGGCCTCCCCCTTATTCTTCCACGTCTAACGACAACACGCCACCTGCATCCATTGGGTTTTCAAGAAAACTTACTTGAGAATTATCCAGTCTCAAATAAAGCCCATTAGTAATTCTTCTGGTCTCCAAGGTTCTCCATGGACGGTACCGTTTGCTTACCATCACGTAATCCGCCCACTCTTTTGCCGACAAATCCCAAAAAAAAATATTTAATAAATACATAACTTACCAAAGTGATTTTCCGGAGACGTCATCTGTCGAAAAACTGGTTCTAAAGACCACTGGAACATTGAGGAAACCATGTAAAATCTGTGATAGTCCATTAATGGAATATGAGCCTTCTCCTCATAAGAGGGGTTTGTATAAATCTCCCTTATCTGTAGTTAGAGATCGCTTAAAAGATTCTAGTTTATCAGAGAGCCCTGGTGCCCTGTCTCCGTCTAATGTGGATTCACTAACATCCGGTTTCTGAAAGTCTTGTCAACGCTAAAATTAACTAATCTCCTATTAAATCTCTTGTCAAGTCGTCTGATAGGTTGTTGATAATTCAGTCAACCAATCAGATGACTTGACAAGAGATTAAATTGATTTTAACATTGATCGGCCTTTCGGAAACCGGGTGTTAGTCGGCTCTTAAGATGGCTTGAAGAGTCAGGGTGGTAACTTCAGTCTACTCTCACAACCGTACACCAGACTTAACCTGACCTATATATAGCATTTGTTCAGGTAATACTGTTTATTATTTATAATAGTGCCTATATGAATTCATAATCAAAATGTTGATTACATGGATTTCCGCGTGTGATTTCCGAAGTTATTCGAGTTTCTTTTAATGTTATTAAAAAATCATTCAACGTAACCTTACCTACATTATAAGACTGATTTTCCGGAGACGTCGTCTTTCGAAAAGCTGGCACTAAAGACCACTGGAACATTGAGGAGACCACGTAAAGTCTGTGAAAGTTTACCACTGGAATATGAGCCTTCTCTTCATAAAGAATTCTACTACCTAAGCGTTTCTCTTTAAAAAAAATTAACGCTAGATTTGTGAAGATATCCTTATGAGAAACATACTTGGTCCTGTGACTTCATATATCTAGAAAAACTACTAATATTATAAACGCGGAAAATTTGTAATTACTACAACGGCCTCACAGAAGACCGGCGTGCTACAATCACAGCGTTGTGTTTCGCCGTGTGAGTGAGGTTACCGGAGGCCCAATCCTTCCCCGCCCCCAATCCCTCCTCAGCCCCTAAATCTCCAAATCCCTAATCCCTAAAAGGTCGGCAACGCTCTCGTAACTCCTCCGTTGCGGGTGTCCATGGGCGGCGCTGATTGCTTACCATCACAGGTAATCCGCCTGCTCGTTTGCCGACCTAATTACATAAAAAAAAAGCTACGGACGGATGCATGTTTGTTACACTTTCAAGTAAAAACTACTGAACGGATCTGAATGAAATTTGGCACAGAGGTAGATTATAGTCTGGAATAGTACTTAAGCTGATTTTTTTTTTGTTATTTCGTAATGGGCAAGCATTTAGACCGCTATCACGTCTGGTCGTAAGCAATAATGCGACCTACGATGGAGCACGCCTACCCATAAGCAACCTAT